GGTCCTTCTCCTTGAAAATCTGTACAGAGAAAATACTGGGCAGGGCTCATCAACCTCAAGTGTCTCTAGTGCAGTTGGTTTAGTTGTATGACTTCTTAACCTTCATGTGTCCGTTTCATATGTTTTCATTCTGGTTACAAAATTATACCAAATTATTGTGTCTTCTAAATTTTCCTGGTTTGCTGTTTGAGTCTACATGTATTTCTTTAATTACAGTATCTTAGCCTGAAAGCCTGTGATGTTCCCTGTCGTAAACTAGTACAAGGCTAATTATCTGTCACAAACTTTGGCTTGCTGGGTGTTTTAGTAATTGCCTTCAAATGTAGAAATGGGGGTGCAGGTTTGATGAAATGCTTATGAATGGTTGCTTTAGGGAAATCAACCTCTGTTTTCAATATGGAAATTGGGAAAATTACTAATATTAACACATCTGTCTCCTGCCTTTTTTATTTCAGTACCTACTAGAAATGAAAAGCTTAATCCTTCCCCCGGAACATATCCTGAAGAGAGGGGACAGTGAAGCAATAGCGTACGCGTTCTTTCACCTGGCACACTGGAAGAGGGTAGAAGGGGCTTTGAATCTTTTGCATTGTACCTGGGAAGGCAGTAAGTAATTTTCTTTCTTTTCAACATTTTTCAAGAGCATGAAATTAATATAATATTGAATGCCAACTGTAATTGAAAAATAAAAAAATTACAAATTAAAAAAAAAGAGCATGAGTGTTCATGATGAATCATGAGGATTGGTATATCTGTACTGTTCCTCTCTGGGAAATGGTTAATTGCTTAGATTCTCTGGTGCCCCACTGGTGGTGGCTGTTACTGTAGTGATGCCATTTCTACAGCTCTGAAAGGCAAGTTTATACAGTGAACAGGATGAATCTGGACTGTTCCAGCCGAGGAGGAGCAGTCTCTACCTGGAAAACCCTCTTTGGAGACCTGGACAGCCTCTTGGTATCATGGGAATCTTTGGCCTGGGTTTAGGCCTCATTCTGGGCTCTGAGTACCACTTTGGGATGGCCTTTCTGGGAGGTTTGGCTGAAGAGCCACAGGTACCCTTTCCTGGAACCAGGTTGGCCAAGCACAGAGGAGTAGCCGCGTACTTCAGAGCGAGATCCGTGGCCCAGGACCCTAGTGTTGGGTGGCAGGTGTAGCGCCCATGTGTGAACAGGTACATGCCTGTTAGATGCCTGGGGGGACAAAGCTATCTGAGTACGTGCTGGGTGCCATCGCTCTGTGTAAGAGGCAGCTCTCATCGCAGGTGAGACGTGCCCCTGAGTTGGAGAAACGTGTTGTCCAGCTGGGAGGAGTAACCGGCAGCATGTGGCAGCTGCCCAGCGGTTTTCCAGGAGAGGTCTGTGGGTGGAGTGGGCACGTGTAACGTTATGGGTCTATGAGTCTTGAACCAGGCCTTGAAGAACCAGGGCTGTATCATAAGCAAAGACACGATGTAGAGAAATGCTAACTCTCTGTGTGTGTGTGTGTGTGTGTTGGGGGAGGGGGGCTGTTGGGGAAAAGGTAAATAAAGGAAAAAGGTCATGACTGTGGATTACTGGACATGCGCTTTGACACTCTCTTATCATTAATTTAAGCCAAATAAGTACAACTTGTAGCATGGGTCACTTTATTTTTTCCCTTTTATAGGGAAACAAAACAAATGTGCGAGTCTTCTGATAATTTTTTCTTAGTTCATCCCCACTCTGATCAGCCTCACAAATAGAATGTCTTTGTAATCCCTTTCACTCTGTTTATCTTTGCTGCTTCCATTTTCATTCTGATAATCTGCTGGTCCCTTTTCCTGTCTGTCCCTAACCCAGCAGGAACCCAAACTGCTGCAGGAAGGGGGATGGGGGCAGCCAAATGGGGTAAAAGTAAGTTGACAGAGATGGGACTCAAGTTGATTGAAACTTTTTTGTTTAATTGTTTTGAAAATGTTTCTTTAGAGAACTGAGCGCAAGCCTACTTACATAATAATTTCCTATTTGTAACTTGAGGGACGTTGACTTATCGAGGCTCCCACTCCCGCTCTGTAGGGGCATTAGCATCCTCCAGGAGTTGGGCCAGGTGTTGGGGCCTGTCAGGACAGCACACTCTACCAGGGTTGGGGGTGGGCACACAGTCCCCTCTGGCTTGAGTTTATTATTGCTGCTTTTAAGGGGTTCTCTCCAGACGAGACAAAAGGAATTTCTATTTAAACATGAGAAAAAGATGGAAAAACCCCAGCAAACTGAACTGAGAGGCCTTTCCTAGTGTTAGTTGTAGAAAAAGTAAATGGACAGAGTGACTTAACAAATAACATATTTATAGATGGGCACCGTGGAAACACAGTAATAAGAGCTATCAATTGAATCAGATTGATAAGAAAGTTGCCAGAGAAAAGATCAAAAGGGGTGGGGACGAGAAGTGATAGAGACACGGTGTTAGGAACGACATAACCATAAAAAGAATCCCATGCGGATTAACTGCAAATTCTATCTGGAAATTCGTTACCTGTCTAATCAGGTAACGGGGTGAGGGGTGGGGTGGTGCTGGGGAAGGACTGAGCTTTTGAGAAATGTGAAGTGACATAGTGAGCTCCCAACTCAAGCAGGGTAGTAATGTTGGGGAATGTAATTACCTCACATCAGATGGGTGAACACTTTATTAGAATAAAAAGAGACAAATTTTTAGATATAAAACAGTACAGCAAGGCAATCAAGGGCCCACAGGAAAGTGGAATTCTACATCTGGTTCTTACAGGTAAATGGGAACCACTCCATGGAAGTTATGTTCAGAGAGAAACAGATTTGCTGAGACTGAGGGACTTGAGAGTCGTGCAGCCATTGCTGGCAGAGCCAGGATGTAAACCCAAGTTCATTGTTTCTTCCTTCCTCTTTTCTACAATACTAGCTCTTTAGGCCTTTCCTGAATAGAATAAGGATAAGAGGACTGGTCATCTCTGGAACATTTGTTTGGAAGTCCTCAATTTACATCACTACTCATAGGCTAGGGTATACTTATTCCCTTCCTAGTGTTTATAAAGTTAACCATTCTATATAAAATCATATTTTTGTTGTTGAGTATTGACAAACATTTTGATGTATTATAGAATGGGCTCAATTTTATAAAAAATAAAAAAATTCTATGTGTAAGCAAAGGAAAGAGACTAGAAATAAATATATCTTTAAATGGATTTTAAATTATTTCTTTTTTCATCATATTTGTATTTTTCAAAATTTCTACGAGCATATATATTTTCTACGAGTATAAATATGTGTATATATGGGTATGTGTGTATATGTATATGCATATATTTAGGAATATAATCTTTCATTGCAAACACTTTNTTGCTCAACACGGCATTGTTAGCTGTGTGCAGCACTTGAGGACTTGAAATATGACAAGTGGAACTGAGGAACTGAATTTTTTATTTTATTTTAATTGATTTAAATTTAAATAGCCATATGTGATAAAGGGTACCATATTGGATAAAGAAGATATATTTTTCCATTTGTAGGTAATTTTCTAAAAATACCACTCCCCCACCCCCCAAGTTTCTTCGACTCTGCCCCCTCCTAGTTTGTTTCAACTTATGCCCACAGGTGTGGGTGGGTGGCTGCCACGTCTTCTCACCTAGTCCTGAAAATTTCTTAAGCCAAGAGAAGAGTCCCATAGATGCTTAATGAAACAACTTCGAAAACTTTTCTTAATCATAGAAATAAAAGTAATGGTAGTTCACACTTTTGTTTCAGACCCCATCTGACTATCGAGGACTGGAAGAGATTTCTGTGTACCTGGGACACGTCAGCTAGTCGTTTTCATATTAATTTGTGTCAGAGTTCATACAGCATGATCCTTCTTTAAAACGTAACTATTTTGTAGGCAAAGTGGCTATAATCAGAGAACTCAGAAATCAAAAATCTTATTCTAGGGCTCTCATAAGGCAAGAAATGTTGCCTTTCCTTTGCCCTCCTGATATTATTAAGAGTAACCAAATGGTCTTCCCTTTCTAACTTCCTCTGAAACACTTGACAAGTTCTATCTGTCTCATGACTCATAGCCTTGGGGTCTTTTAGGGTCATCACAGACAGTACAACATACAGTCTAATGGCTTCTATTAAGCTAACAAAATCACGAGAGGATAACTGAGTATCTCTGAGAATAAAAGAGACTTTTATATTTATATTATGGTTGATATTCATTATAAATACAGAGTTAGTTGGATTACTAAGTAATTCAAAATTGTTGTTTTTTCCAAAAGATTTTCCCCTGTCCTGTTTTAAAACAAGATGGGGGAAGAAGGCAGTAATTTACAGAATTCAAAAAGGCATATGACCAAAAAGCTATTTTGGAACTCACGCTTGAGGAGTTCCCATCAAAATAATAAACGCCTTTCATGGCCCTGCCTGGGGAGAGGTCTTTCTGTGGAGGAGGCCACCCCTGCCCCCCGTGTGATGGCTGTATCTCTGGTTCCACGGCTCTGTGGGTGGGCTCACTCGCTGCCTTACTGTTCCTGCTTTGAGGCCTGACACTGAGAGCCTTGTTCAAATGTCAGACGCGGAGTGAGGGAAGTCTCATTTGCTGAACCAAGAGGCTGGAATGTGTCCTCTCGGCTCCTGCACCCTGTACCCAGTGCGCCAAGAGGCCAAGCAGCTGAACGGCGCCTGCGCCCAGCATGTCCACTGCAGATTAATCCACAGCCAGCTGATAACGCAACACTGACAGGTGTATCATAACCTCCATTCGGTCTATCTGGATTCTTCCATTCTTCACCCTCTTCCATAAACTTCCACCAACAGTGAAATCCACAGACAATTGCTCGTGATGTTAAAATTGTTGAGTATCTCTTCTCATAGCACTCCCTTTTGCTGTGTTTGCCCCCTTTTACTTAAACATATCCTCCATCATCTGCTAATCTCTATTTTAAAGGAGATTAATGGGCTGTGATGGTGGTTAGTGGTTGGGGAAGAGTTGGGAGGGGAGATAAGGAGGAACGGAGCA